GAAAGTGTTGACCATAGGCCACACCAGGCAGCAAACACACTCTCTATATATTGTTTAAATACACTGGTTTGAATTCTTTATTGCCCTGTTAGACCCATTCGTATTTGTCTGCCATCTGCTCAGGACTGGCCCCGATGCTTCTGGGATATTAGATTCATTTGGGCTCTTCTTACCCATGACTCCATGCCTAAATCTTGAAAAATAAAACCTTTTACCAAATAATCTCCTGAATTTTGATATAGGAAGGAGAATTTTCTTCTTATCTTCTTCCAAATGAATGTCCTGTGTACACAGATGAAGACTTTGTCAGCCCAGGCTCCGGTTTGTGGATGCTCACCAGCCTGCTGTGTTTGGATCTGAGACTGCATCCAGCCACTTCTTGTGTTACTTTGAATTGGGGCAGGCAGGTTTCCTTTGGTGAACTGAGAATTCATATGCTGGGCACTGAACTCTCCATCATTCCAGTGGGGACAAAAAGGCCCAACTTCCTCAGTGGAAAATCTAATAAATGGACTAGTGAACAGTTCTTTAAGGGGGGGGGGATTGAATTATTTAACTGGTTTTTCCTTCTTTTTAAACATTAGGTGATGCTTTTCCATGGACTATCAGTCTGCATCATTTCAGTATATATACTCTTCTTGGACAACAGATGACACTTAATTTAGTGGAACCAATGGGCTGTACTTCTACTTTAGCTGTTACTTCACAGAAACTTCTTGCATCGGGGCCAGAATCCAGGCACTCATTTGTTGTCTGCCTCCATGTCGACCTTGAGTCCCTTGAAATCAAATGCTCCAACCCCCAGGTTTGTAAATTTAATTGATTTATGAAAGGAAATTAAAAATAACTCGATTTAAGTACAATTGTTCTGTGTTTTGTTGAAGAGGGTCTCTTCTATCTTAACTTTTTTTTAACTGGTCCATCAAGATCAAGGTGCTTAGATTAAGATTCGCTTTGAAGCACTCTCAAGTTCTGTAATTTAAACTTCTGAAAATGTAATAGCTACAGTATAAATGCATCTTTTGGCTGATGGATGGGAATGAATTACAGATGTACCATTAAATGCTGTTCAACTGTCACTGTGGGTTCATGTATTGAAGTGGTTTAATATATTCTTTTTACCATATTTTCACAGAACTATTATTTCTTCAAACATGGAATGTTTCTTAGGCAATCAATGGTATCCTATAGTAAAGAAAAAAAAAGCAACACAGAGGAAAGTGTAAACAAAAATTGTCACCCCATTTGTATTTATTAATAAGTAAAGATGTTGCTTTATTTTCAGAAAGTGCACCTATCGGAGTTTAACCTGACAGGCAGCTAAACACTACACAGTTTCTTGCTTACTGCCCCCAGTACCTGGTGGGATGCAGGAGAGAATCTGAGGAGAAAGGTCAGGACACTCGTGGGTTGAGATAAAAACAACTTAATGATTGAAATAAACTAAACTGTAATAATAATAAATAAATTAATAATAGCAGCAAGAACAACAATAATAATAATATTGCAATAGTGATAGGAACAGCGATAATAAAACACATAACTTTATACTCAGCTCATGCAGAATTCACAAGCCATGTGCTCCCAGCAGTGAATATTAGATAAAATAATATTGCAAACATAACAGCTCCAGCAAAAGCAGGGAGTACGAGGCCTTGGGAACCTAACGACAGGCAAAACCCTCTGGAGATGACAACCGTCAAGGAAAGAGAGGGTGTCCCTAGTAGACTCCACAATTTGTAGCGAGTGTGACCTTTATAGTATGGAATAATCCTGTTGGCCAACTTGGTCAGCTGCCCTGAAAACCCCTAGCTTTTGCTCCCTCCAGCTTCTGCACCTGATTAACTCAAAACTGCTGAAGACCTTGTTCACTGCATACCAGTGCCAGCCAAAAACTGAAACAAAATGTCTTTATCAACTTTTGTTTCCACTAAAACGCATACTGTAGTTCTTGTAGAAATGCAGCTTTCCTGAATAGAAAACTCATTCTATGATTCTATCCCATCCAAATGAGGACGGCACCTTGTATTTAACTGACCTGGATCAGGTTTGCTGTAGTTCCAAACAGAGTAGGTTTTCTATGCAAAATTGTGAGTAATCTTTACTGCAATTTGAATAACACTTTCCTGACAGTCGTGACAGCTGCAACATTTCCAGTGGTGCTGGAGAGACCACTCTTGTTCTTGGGAATTGCAGATCTGTTAAGGTGTGAATAGGGCTCTGCATTCATATGCTGTCTGCTCCAGAGTTTTAGCCATATGTAAGGGGGTTTTTTTTGTGAAAGAGCACAAAGTATTATAATTTTGATCTGATAGACAGCACATCATGTTTGTAAAGATTTATGGACCTATGGCCTAGGTCTGGGAATACTAAAGCTAAGGTAGGTGGTGTAATTTTAATGTTATCCCTTGTGTGTACTCATTAGAATGTTTCTCAGTCGTGTGCAATTTTTTTCCTTGTCTCATTCCATGTTCTATGAATGAAACAAGTGTTTTAAACTATGTATTTATTTTATCCTCAATGTGTGGTCTCCTTCCATTCAAGTTATTTCTGACTCATTTGCTTTATGCCATTGTCTTCTGTACTGGTTAGACTCACTCTCACTAGGTAGAGATTGCTTACTGGACACGGGAAATTAAAATTTGAAGTTGAGCAGCCTCAACAAGGTCTGCTCAGACTTGTGAAGCTGTGTGACAGGTGTGTTTGCACACATAAAGGTTTGTCACTGTGTTATAAATGTATAAATAGGAAAGGACAAAATTATGAATCTGCTGACAGGTTTACATCTTATGTTTAAAGACTTCTGAAAGCTTTACTTTGCAACTTTGTGGTATTTCCATAAGGTTTAATGAATTCATATGTGATAATTTAACAGCCTATGGAAACCTGCCTTGTTCTGTATTAATTTTCACAAAACTGTACAAAATTCACCTTGATACCAGAGCTATTCCCTGCCCATGGCAGAAGTGTTGGACCAGATGATCTTTGAGGTCCCTTCCAGTCCAAACCATTCTGCGATTCTATGGCTCTATTCAGAGAATTGTTAAATATTTTGAGGTGTTAATGTAGCGAAACAATTTGCTACATTTGATTGACATGCTCTCAGTGAAATTGTGGCAAATCATCTGATCAAGTCTGATTTATTTTTTTTTAATATCTCCAAATGTATTACTCATGGTTAATATATGTAAGCAGAATGGCATTGTTTTAAGTGGAAGCCTTATCTAAATTTGAGTGGCAAATTTAGAAGAAAGGTGGAATAAGTATAACACATTTTCAAGCTTTCCTACCAAAGTGTGATCAAACATGTTGTTTTTCAAACTGTAAGAAAATACTTGCACTGAAAAATTTAAATTGTAAGCTCCGTGTAAATTGTACTACAGGTATAGTGAAATGTTAAAATGAAGTTGTACAGTGATGTATCAGACCAAATATTGTTGTCTTAAAGGACATTCTTGTACACTCTGATGTTATTAATTTACTGAAGTATTATAATGACCAAAAGGATGCAGACAAATTATTTGAGTTTAATGAAGCTGTCCTTTCTCCCTTACATCTGCCTTACTTATCCTTTCTGCTTTATTTATGCAAAAGGAGAAAAAAAGCCCATCAGTCTTCTTTAAACAGATGTTCAGGAGCATAAGATGGAAAATACAATTGCATATAAAGCATTTGGCAGTTATAAATTCACAGTAGAGTAACTATGAAATTTGATTCTTTAGAATGACGGGCTGCATTTTGTCTATAGATGACAGCCTTAAAGTAGGTGATACTTAATGAATTTGTTACATGGCAACAAAGGTGAAGTATTTTACTGTATTATTATTATGATGCAATACAAGGCCATGTTCTGATGAATGTATCCCTTTAAAATCAATAGATACTTCCAGTGTGCAAAATTGTCAGGGTATTGCCTTTTATTGTAGTTTTCAATTTTGTAGTAGTGTGTTATTTTTTTAAGCATAAAATGCTGTAACACATTCAACTTTACAGGTTTTGCCAAGTAGTCAATGGGGTCCTGCTGAGTTGTGTGTGGTTTTGGTGAGGATGGAGTGGAAGCAGTGAGAGAGGGAAACTTTTCTTAACAAGTACTGGCAGAGTTATTCCTATTTTTGTCATACCATTTTTCTTCTCTTGAATACAGTGTACCAAAAATAATTATTCTATATTAACTGTTATGCTCAAAAATACTTATAAAGGAGAGAGGCATTACACTTATATTAGCTCTTCTAATAGGAATGGATTTTCAAAATACTAAGACTGCTCATTTGAAAAAGTGCAACCAGCAAGAGAAGTAGAAATCTTTCCATTTTAATGAGTAACAACAAATGGAATAAAATAAAGTGTAATAAAAATAATCAAAGACATAACATCTTTATCTGAAGTTTTTATATTTTAGTTACACGTAGACACATGCCTTCTTTTTTGCTTTAATGAGGTTTTTATGTGAAAATCATCTCCCTCTAATCAAAGTGTACCTTTTTTTTTTTTTCTTGGTGAACTTGTTTTGTCTCTGGTTTCAGAAAAGGAAAGAGAATTAGGGTCATACTACTTGACTGACTGGTTGCTGGTGATTTTCAGAGAGATGGCTACTGCTGTCTGAAATAGCCACTGTTTCAGAGTGACTGCAAAGATTATAGCCTGAGCAATTTATAAAAAAAATCTCCCTGCTAACATAAGTAATTATTTGCTTTAATGGTTATTACTGTTGCAACCCTAATAAGATCTAAACTCTTCGATGTTGCATTAGCTGATGACAAACCTCTTTACTTTGTGTGTGAGCATGTATGTAAACACAGACGTTCCTTCTTTTGTGGTGTGATGTGCCTTTATGAACAGTAGCATAATTGAATTTCTGGAAGCTCTGCTTCATTAAGACAAGTATAGCTTAAATTATCCTTTGGTTTCTTGACCAAAAAATATTTTGGATGAGGGGAGGTTGCAAGCATGTATGATTTGGATATGTGCCTGTATCCTATATTTTCTTAGAGACTCTTTTGCCAGCAAAGTGTCAACACCAGTTAATGTTACATTAATCAATCAATCAGATGGACATTGAGTTGATCTTCTTGCATTACATGGTAAAGACTCAGAAAAATTTAGAAATCTGCGATTATTAATTTAAAGGCTACCAGTGCATATCAGAGTGCTACCGGCACAAAGTATTTTAAAGCATAACTAAAAGATACTTTTTTGCCACAGCCAGTTATTGTTTATCTGTAGATTGCTCTGTATATGAAGACAAAAAATGAGTACTCAGAAGTTTATCTCCTTTGAGGAAAAATTCTGTCAGAAGAGTATATGACCTGCTCAGTGTAAGCCTTGAAACTTCAAAAGAAAATCCAAGATGAATTAAGAAGGTTTTTATAAAATTCCAGCATTTCACCTCTTAAGAAGGGACTGTAGCTTGTACTTTGAGACTTCATCACACATTCTCACGCACAAAATCAAATGCTGTTTTATATCAAATGTAGATTGACAACAGTGTTTTTCTGCATCTGTTCTGCCCACATAAGAAGCCAGCTTCATAGAGTAGATGTGTCCTGAGGCTTAAAGTTCTTATAAATATGAGAATTTCCATTTTTTATAATGGCAAGTTGGGTATGGTATCCAGCTGTGGATCTGCTTATATATTGTTTGCAGTTTTCTCTGAGCTTGTTTTATACAGTATATTGCAATATGTTGTCATACAAATTCCATGATTAATGCTTATTTACAAAAACTTGTGTAAATATCTTAGAACTGAGTCAAACATTGTGCAAGTTAAACAGTGTGTTTCTGAGTACTGGAATGACATATGCCAGGAGACTCTTGAGTTTGATAGTAGATATTCTTCCTAAAACAAAGGTTTCATATGCTGCATGGGATCATTATTTTAATATAATTAAAGTGAGCAATTTTTGCATTGTAATTATTTCACAAAGTTTAAATGTTTTCCTTTTTCTAGAGGCAGTATCTATATGTATGAAATATACCATAAATTACCTTTTTTTAATTGTTAAAACTGATACTAGTAAAAGTTTTACAAGACTGTTATTGGTTACATTTTTATGAGCTACATACCATATGTTTAGACAAAGGACAGATTATTTTTATCAAAATAACTATACTGTAACTGATGTTAATTATTCTAATTGCAGTGTAGTTGCTTATCAGAACATTATAAATGGTGAGAAGTTCAGTTCTGCTGCAGTCTAAGTCTCAGTAGAGGACTTTGATGATTTTCCTTCACCTCATTAGGGAAAGCTTCCTCTTAAAAAAGTTTTTTTTGTGGTTTGTTTTTTTTTTCCTTTTAGGTCCAGCTTCTGTATGAACTGGCTGAAATCACAAGTAAAGTTTGGAATAAAATTCAGAGGAAAGGAATTCTGTATCAATCTTCTGTCTATACTGAAACCATGACAGGACCTGCTCCTCCTAGCTCTCCAGTTAAAAGTAGCGTTGGTACCGCTCCACCAGATACCAGCACGTACAGCCCATCTGCTGACGTTGGGACCACTACAGAGGTAGGCTTTATTTTTGAGAAAGTCATATTCTGACTTAAAAGGTATGGTGGTGCACATTCAAATAAGAATCAGAAGAATCAGAAAGAGCGGTAGTGTCCCTATGGAATGTAGGTTTGCCCCAATAGACTATTGAAGAATACCTTATTACTCAGTTTGGTATAACAAAAGGAAGGAGAAAAAAAAATAAATTGCTGTATTGCTCCTATGTTTATTATTTGTCTGGATCATTTCTCTTTGAAGGGAATCAGTATTAACTCTTGTTAGAAAATTATGATTATTGTTTTTCAGGTCAAGAAGCATAAGGTGTCTTTCAAGTCCAGAATTATTAGAACAGGAACTGGTGTTTTGGAAGGACCCATGATACCTGTGCTGCTTGTGAGTCATTCCAAGTAGCTTCATAAGTCAGCCTGTCCTGTTGAAGCCAGTCACTGCGATGCCTGAGTCAGTGGAGAGCTTCTGTGTGCAGGCTGTATTGATAACCAGGAGAGGCACAGGGACAGTGAAGGCTCCCAAGGGTGGCGATGTAGCTCACCCAGCTGTGTGCTCATCCCAGGTCCATCCAGCCACTGTTACCCTCCGTCTCTACTACTTCTGGAGCTCATTTCCATCCCCTCTCCAGCTGTCCCTGGTCTCAGAAGTGCTTTTGTAACTCAGTCGCTTGCAGATTTGAGTATGCAGCTTCAAATATAAGAAAGATTGACTACTTGGTTTTGGTATTTCTGCTTTCTTAATTTACAGCACTGCGTAACTGTCTGAAGCAATCTGGTACCTGATCTTAATTTCTGTGTGTGCCTAAGACTGTAATATGTTATTAAATGTTATTTATATAAATGTTATTTAGGCATGACAGGGAGTTTTGCTTCTCTGCCATACTGAGGAAAGAGAGTTATAATTCTCTTATCAGCTCAAATACAGCATTAAACTTCATGCATGAGTATCATTAGCTAAGAGTAGCTGATATAGAGTAGAATGGGGGGGTCACAGGAGGCTGTGCAACTGAATAGGCCTGATATTTGTGATTTTCTTAGTGCTCTTTCAGGTTTACTAGGTAGAATAATAAGTTGGCCTTGTTTGTGCTCCAGGAGAGAGCCAAAAATATGTAAGATGAGTTGAAGGTATACCAGTGGTATATCATAACTAAGCAATGCTTCATTCTTAACACGAAGCTATCAGAATGAGGGAAGGCTGTTGTGAGAGGCTGGGTTTCATTCTCAGGATAAACACAGCAATGTTGGGGGCATCTTGTACTGCAGTTCTAGAACAAAGACAAATACACAGCGGTTTGAGTGCTGAGTGCAACTTCATATTCAACAACATTTGGCCAGGATTGTTTTAACCCTATGTATGGTTTATATTAACTGCTGGGTTTGGAAAAAATAAAATGGTGATTGCTAGAGCTTATTTTTATATGCATCTCACACGCATAGAGGTAACTGTCATTAAAAAGTGTTTGATCTGGAGTTTAAGTTGTTTCACTATAATATTTCTAGATTATCTGAATAGCCTTGGTTTTGGTGTATTTCTGTGTGTGTGATTTCAATTGTGAAAAAATTTACCATGGATACAGTATTGAAGGTAAGTAATAATAGTAAGAAAACAATATAGTCACAAAAATAGTATTTTTTCACGTACTTACATCAAATCCTTTTCTCATTAAAATAAAAAACCACTAGCTTTATAAATGATTTGGTTTTGACCCTTTATATAGACAGCAGTGTTTGGAGTACCTGCTGTACTTGGAGCACTACTTGAAACGGATTCAGTAATTGTTTTAATCCATATGTTACCATGATTATTTTGCTAATATGGGTTCATATCCTACCCCTTTACAAAATGTTATTCATAATTTATTTAATTTTCTTCGTATTTTCAACAAATGTTATGCACAAGCTAAATGATTTTTCTCCTGACTAAATCAAGCTTGGTGAATTAACCGACAAAGGACAATATTAGAATTTGTGTTCAGTCTTTTCATCTCTGAAGCTGACACCATCATTTCAATTATTTCAGTAATTTCATAATTTTTTCCTAGGATAGGGAGGCAGTCCAGAAGAAAGAGCAAGCACAAGAGATCTGTAAGCGCACAGATAGAAAAGCATACTGAGGCAGGCATCATTTGTTTAATGGAGACATTGAGGTGTGTGATTGTATACATGGCTGGATACTTGAGATTCTAAGAAGTTCTTTGTCAGAAACTGAAGATGAGAATGAGAAGGCTAATTTTTACATTCTCATGAAAAGATTCACAGAATTGTTCAAGTAGGAGTGTAATATTTTTGGCTCAGCAGCTGAGGAAAATCTTATGTAATTTCTGATTAACTGGGTGGGAATATTAAGTGTATTGAGGTGATGAAAATCAGAACAGTATGTAGGGTGTATAAGGGTTTTAATTAACAGTCAAGAAAAGAGAAAAGCAAAGGTTTTGAATTACTGTGGTTGAAAAAAAGACAGAGAGAGAATCTTTGTCATGGAAAGTAAAGCCAGATTTAAGATTCCTATAAGACTGGTAGCTACAAAAATGCTGTATTTGAGTCTGTGGGTACTATCATTTTTATGAATTTGTGAGTCAAGGTTTATACTTTAAGACTAAGTTTGATATCAGTCTTGTGATTTCCTGAAAAGAGTTAGTGGTACTGTAAGGTGAAAAAAGAATGGATAGCCAGTGGAGGATTCATCTAAATGGTTTGGTTGTTATGGGATGTAACATCAAAGTTTGTCTTGACCTAGTACTTTCTTATATTTAAAGACTGAGGTTTCAAACAGAACAAATATAAAAAAACAACTATCCTTTCACTCTTAAAACTAATTATATGTCAAGTTACCAGTTGGACTGAGGTGAATCACCTACTAGGATGACTAAGTTAATACTTTCTAGGTGATGTAAACAAGGTAACATTTTCCCAACAGGTTTTTATTAAATCATAGGGAAAATTACCTTAAGCCCTCTACCACCATTTTAAATCAATGGAGTCATTGCTTTAACTAATTTTTTTTCTTTATAAACTTCTAGTGGCCATCAGTAACAATAAATATTTTAAAATAAAGTGTTTTGAAGCTACAAAAGTGAGCTTTTCCAAATCATTATATGTAAAGTAGCTAAGAACATTGTCCCTGAGACTCTGCGCAATCCTGATGTCTGAGAATTGTGTAGTACTGTTGAGGGTGGGAGAGAGAAGGAGGTAGGAGAATCACATTTGGCCAACCAGTGAGAAATAACAAAAGGAACTGTATTTTCTTCTCGCATTTCTAATAGACTATTTTAGACAGTATGAATTAAATAATTTGTAACATAATGGTTGGCAGTATCTCCATAACACATTCTCTTCTGCGGTTGGTGACTGTTTCTGAACTTATTCAGTATACTTCCCAGTATCAAAGCAAAAGCTGGGCTTTCATTATAATGACATAGTTGCTGTCCTGTTTTTTGAGGTAAGGATTGTTGAGAATTTAAAAAATGTATGTGTTGAAAAATGAACTAATGAGCGTTCTCCCTCATTTTTTTTCGCCAGTGAAGGCTGTTTGTCCTTTGAGAGTAGTTCACTGGTTTCCCTGTTTCCTTTTGCTGACTTAGTTACTATCGCCATACCTAGCTGTCGATAGTGTAATCATGGAATTGTGCTTCTCCTTCATTTGAGCAGGGTAGGATGTGAAGATGAGAGAGAGAATCTGGTAACTTCTGCTCTCTTGAGCTGCTACTTTGAACTATTTCAGTCTACTGATTTCCTCAGTTATAGTTCATATAATGAAGACTTTATTTGAAGAAAAATATCCTCCTTAGTATGTTCATATGTGCACAGAACCCCATTATAGGTGCTGGGGTGCATCTGAGAGGCATCTGTTCGAGAGCTATGCAGTTATTCCTCTGCCCCAAAAGGAGGCAAAGTAAGTTGACAGGACTTGTAGACAAGAAAAGTAGACAGATTTTTTTTGGTTTATTATTTTGTCTCCTGTGATGTATAGCAGCTAGTTCTACCTGTCAAATTGCCTAATAGGCTGCAGATGTCAGTCTGTTATACCATACTGTTTTCAATGAGACCAAGTTTTTCTTCTGGGTGAAAATATAGTCCTCCACAGTCTGTCCAAGTATAGATTGTTATATATAATATCTATCTTAGATAGAAGATTTTTTTTTTATCTGGAGATCCTGTTTGTTCACAGGAGTCTAACTAGTGAAATCTAAACCTTATAGCATCCTTCCAGTACTTTGAAGGGGCCTACAGGAAAGATGGGGAGGGACTCTTCATCAGGCAGTGTGATGATGGTGAGACACTGGTACAGGGAAGTTGTGGATGCCCCCTCCCTAGAAGTGTTCAAGGCCAGGCTGGTGGGAGGTGTCCCTGCCCATGGCGGGGGGTTGGACTGGATGATCTTTAAGGTCCCTTCCAGCCCAAACCATTCTGTCATTCTATGAAAGTACAGTTGAGGGCTGAGAATTTTTCCAGGTACCTTCTGAAGAAGTAATATTAATTTCAAAAAGTGTAGAAGTGGGATGAGGGATGTCAGAGTAACTCATACTTCTCAGCTTTATATGTCATTGTAGTCTTCAAGTACTGGTATGGAAAATTAAATGGGTAAGTGATACTGCATGGAAGCAGAGAATGGCTGAAAAAGGCCAGCAGAGGGGAAAGGGAAGGTGGAAGCAGCTTTTGGGGGGCAGCTGAGAAGATTGGAGTAGCACTCCACCATTTTCCTGGGTGTGATTTATCATTGTCTGTGGTTTTGCTGAGGGTTGGAACTGGACCGCTCCTTTCCCTTCCCACAGTCTGAGTTCCATCAAGGGAGCAGTAAAAGCAGATGAGACAGTTATAGTGCAGGCATTCACTGGCCAGGAGACCTAACACCAACAAAACCTTGCTTGATTACTGTCCTGATGCTGGCAGATCCACTTGCAAATACTTGGAGAAATAGAAAAATACTTTTATTTTTATCTCTTTAAATACTGTGTACTAAATGTCTTTATATTCTCTAAACTGCTAGTATTGGTTACTTATATATGTGTATTTTAGTCTTTAGAAATTTGAAGGTACTTAATATTGGCCTAATGTTACTTGCAAAGATGTCAGTGGGAGCAAATTGAGGCCCATGTAGTTTAATTTGTAAAATACCATTTTTTATTTGTAAATTATAATTTGTTTTCAAAATATTTAACAGTTATGTTTTTAATGAAAGAAATGGGGGAGGTAATATATAAAAATCAAATGCATTAGCCGCAGGTTTGACTTAGGTAAATTTTCCAGAAGTTGGCATTTTATCAAAGTCTGTATTTTGTTTATATGTTCCTATATTTTGAAATCTTGAAGTCTGTCACACCAAAATACTTTTCTGCAATAGGTACACAGTTTTTAAATTTAGAGATTTGCACTTAATGTGTTGTTTTGTTCTGTGGGAGACAAATGATTATTTTTATAGCTTCTTTCAGCTGTGACGAACTTGCTATAAATGAATCGGAAGAAAGCAAACTCTTACAACTGTTTATATTAAGCAGCAGAAGTAGTAATTTGTTTATGTGATCTGTGGATGATTTATATTTTAAGCTGCGTGTAACTCTTTTCATGCTGACAAGCTGATAGTGAGCACCACAGTCCTGTGTTGATAAAGCTACCTAGCTCACTGAATTTCAGTCTTGGTGGTGGTAAGACAGGGAAACATGAGTGAGAGGCGTAAGTGCTGGAGGGCTGGAAACAGTTAATCATTTTTACCGTCCCTCCTTTGGTACAGTAAAAGCAAAGGTAGTACAGACTACAACAGGCCACTTGTTACTGTTTACTTAAGTGCAAACAGTGGTAGAAGTGTTTAGTCCTTGGGGAAACTCAGTGATTGAGCAAGAACGCAGAAGTTATTTTGATAAGGCATAGCAGTAGTGTGGCCAAACTGTGATCATCCCTGAGCTTTAGGCAGGCCAAGGATGAAGGCCTCATATGTTTGGATCTTCCTGATGAACAAAGATAAATTCTGCTAAGAAAATAAACTCAGTCTATTGGTCAATTTGCAACAATTGGTGAAAGAATGAAATTGTATATTTTAGGACTTGGCATGAGAAGTTGTGGGAAAATAGTTCAGGTTTTCTGACTCTGGCTTGATTTTTCTCTAGATCTGGAAAGAGAGCAGAAAATTAATGCATAAACATATTTAACAAGACCATGCTGGGTGCTGAAAATCCAAAATGAAAATTGAAACTGCATGAGAAACAAGAGCATGGTCTCTTTTCTCACTTCAGCTTCTTGGTTTTTCACTGCAAAAAATTTCTAAGAATTTGAGCTTATTGAAAAAACTCAAACATGTCAGCTACTGCAGACCATCAGTTTTTCAGGCCCTGTGTCTCTTCCCAATGGTTCTGGTTACGTACCATTAACAGAAGTCTAAGAAGAAATGCAATCTCTTCATTTTTCACCTCCCAAAGGACAGTCGTATAGCAACGTCTGCCTTCAGAGGAGCATCTGCAGTTCTTCTGCCACTGAGAAAGAGAATGGGCCAATTCAACTGTTTATATACGTTTGAATAGCAGAAAAAAATTAGCTAGTATGTTCACATTGAACTGTTGAAGTAGTGGATGGGCGACGCCAGTAACTCAGTAACCTCTCACAGGGCCACGGTGTTGAGCAGCTGGGGATGTCTGTTGATAAGCTCTGCAGCTGGCATAGCTGCAAAAGAAGCTGCATAGAAGAAAGTGGGCAGGAAATAAGTAACCCAACTCAAAACCAGGGTGCATGCAGTAAAGTGTTATGGCCACACTGGGTAGGTCTATATTTGGCACCTCCAACAACCCTTTCTTCTTCTGCCTTTCAGATACACACAAGCCTGCTTATCCCCTTTTTTATTGCATCTCAGAATATTCCTATCAGCCTGTGTTTTTTTAATTGATGATCACATTTAATTAGTGTTAAATAGAGTTAATAAAGAAAGCCTACTATGCCAAGCAGACCAAAGTCATGGAACCTTACAGTTTTACCATCAAATCTTTGCCAAAGTCTATTATCTCTGCCTAAGAAAAGAGGAATATATTTTTGGTTTTTTTCCTGGTGTTAAAAAATGGTAAATTCAAACACACAGTTTGTGAGTCTGTGTGTGTGTGTGTGTGTGTGTGTGTGTGTGTGTGTGTATATACACACACACAAAGTTTGCGCATCTGCATCAGTCTAGAAAAAAAAAAGAGGAGTAGTGAAAAAGCAATACCTTTTTTTCCTCAGCTATTACATCTGTTTCACAGGGTGATTCTCTTCAGGGTGGTGATGATTCTCCATTCTCAGACTCCATTACATTGGAACAAACAACAAGTAATATCGGAGTCTCAAGTGGACGTGTCAGCCTATGGATGCAGTGGATGTTGCCAAAAATTACTATAAAATTGTTTGCTCCTGATCCTAGAAGTAATGGCACAGGTATTCAACATTTTTTCCCCTAATGTTCTGGTTTTAGTTCCATACATTATTTTACAGTGCAGTATTAGCTATTCAGAGCATTTTCAGACAGTATTAAACACTGTAATGTAGAAGTAATTGGTTGCGTTTATATTTCAAACTAGAGGAACAAGCTGTAGTTAGGTTAGTACATGTAATTAGAATTCAGTATTATTCTTTGATGCAAACTTTCCCCTCCCTGTGGCAAGATTATGATGTCAAATTGGTAATAAGTTGGTTATTTTACTTAAAGTGCTGCATTTATTGCCTTAGAAGTAATCACGTTTAGTTTTTATATGATTTAGTAGTATGTTTTGTGTATGTCTGTGTATAGATGTGTACTTTTGAATTGATAATTTCAAATTTAAATTTAACATAATCATTATAGTATAATCCTTAAAGTCATGGAAAGTTTAATATGGAGTTCAACATAGAAGTTTCAACTTTTTTGTTGAAAAGAGAAATGTGTGGTACACAGCTTCTCTTTCAAAATTTGAGATTAGAGTTAGTTTATTGTCAAAACAGTAATTGTTTGAAAGGAGCTCAGATTCTATAAATGTGCTGCAGGTCTTCAAATACTATTTTTGTTAGGAAACACTCCTGCTTAGTTATTCCTATTGTCACTCATAGAAATGTGAAAAAATAAGGAGACTAATGATTATAGCTAATTTTCAAAAAGATGTACTTGAACCTTTGATATAAAAAAACTAATTATGTGAGAGAAAGAATTCTTTCTTAAAGTATATTTAGAGTAAATATCTTGGCAAATATTTTTATTTTTTTTTCAGGAATTATACTATGAACACCTGAACTAAAAATCCCATATATAAGTCTCTCCACACATTTGTATTAAAAGGTTTGGATTGTAGGTTCTGGTTCCTATCTGTGTGACACTTGAATCAGCAATGGCTTTATGAAAAAAACTCTGAGTAGAAATAGCATCATTCTATTTCCAAAATGTGGTTTCTCAGGTGTATGTATTGCTTAAAAATTTGCAAGTTTCAGATTAATAACTAAAGGTTTTTTTATTTTCTTTGACTATTGCAGAAGTTTGTGTTGTCAGTGAATTAGAAGATCTCAGTGCCTCAGTAGATATGCAGGATGTCTATACCAAAGTTAAATGTAAAATAGAAAGCTTCAATATTGACCATTACAGAAACAGGTAATTCCTGGGAGTTATTCTTTAATTTTGGACTGAAAAACAGTGGCATGTGTCAGGGGTTTTTTCTTAACTCTTAACTTGAATTTAACTCAATTTCAGTGAAATTATTTAACCTTTTAAGTAATAAAAATCAGAATTTCATTTCCTCCGAATTATGTCTGATTCCAAAGAAATACACAGAAGTCATTACAAATCAGGAGAGTGTTTTTTCAGTTAGTTCATTAGACAAAAATAATCCATTTTAGCTGAACTTTTGAGTGAGAAAATCCCTAACTATTACTTCATGATTGGCAAGGGCCAATTTTAAATGATTTATGGTATCATACTCTTAGACATTGAAAAGAATTTTCTAAAAAATGGAGCTGTCTATATTGCTGTGTCTTAGCAGCACCACAATGCAAGGAACTAAGCTGATTATCTGTGTGACACGGTATAGTGTCACACAGACATGCCCGAGTAAAATTTGAGTAATTCTTGTCCACCAGTATATCATCACTGTTATGTACATTTAGGGTAAGTAGTTAGGCCTACTATATGTCTTGCAACTTTAGCAAGTTTTGTTAGCTGAATAGTTTGCTGCACCAATGTGACTACGTTCATTTGGCACCTAGACACATGGTTCTGTAAAGAAATTGCATGTACCTCCTTCTACCATCTGTCGGCCATGAACACACTGGTCTTGACAAAATACAAGGGAGCCGGTGCAGTCTTTGATCAACTGGGCTAGTGTTTGCCATTACAGAACAGCATATTCCATTGCAGGAGACAGAAATTAAGAGAAAATAGAATAGTTGTTGTGTTACTCCCTGAAAGTAGTTTAAAAGCTTCAGAACATATTTTGGCATTGAAAATTACTGTAATATTTAGGACCACAAATAATTTTGACTTAAAGCCAATATCTGCAAGGTCTTACCGGGCACTTATTGTTCCCTACGTACAATAGGAAGAAGATTTAGTATCACTTTATCAAAGTTACCAACATTTCTGAGACTTCTTTTTCTGATCAATCAGCTGTCTAAAAAAATATTTTTTTTTGTCTAAGTTACTAATGCAGTTATTGTTTGTATGTATTGTAGCAGTTGATAACCAAAATTTGTACATTATTTATAAAATATTTTAGAATTGAGTCATAATGCTTTTAAATGCTTTGGAATCCCAGTAGTTCTTAATCCTAGGTGCTCTTAACACGCTTCATGTCCACAGATTATATGGAAAGCTTGAGAAGGTGCTTCACTTCCGGGAGCCTACTGCTCCATTAGGAATGATTTCAACTTCAAGGTGTTCTTGTTTGCTAATGTTATACTGAGGCTTTTAACAAACAAACAAACAAACAAAAATCCAAAAAACCGAAACAGCAAAAGGAAAAAAAAGCCCACCTAACCAAAGCCCTAACTTAATTCCAATTGACAACATTGTTACAGTTCTCATTTATATTTCATAATACCTTCAGAGTACCTTTCTCTATCTTTAAAACTCTGTGGACTAAAACCAAAAGCAGAGAATAGATAAGATGAATATTCTGTCTTCCAGGCCAGGGGGAGACTGGCAGTCAGGACATTTTGAAGGAATATTTCTACAAAGCAGAGAAAAGCTTTTGGTGAGATCTTTTTGGTAAACTAAGGTGCTTACCTGAATAACTCTTGCTTAAGCAACATATTGATCTTTATTCTTGTATGTATTAAAAAGAATGATTACAAGAACTGTAGTACAAAGCACATTTTAATACTTAATAGCTAATTTTTTCTCAATAATATTATGCTTTTTTACTTGTGAGTACAGCTTTTCATTCAGTTTCCTGGTTCTTGTAATCATTTTCTTCCTCATTCTAATAAAGCCATCTGCTGAAAATCATGGGGTAAGTCCCTTTTCTATATGCAGAATTTTACTATAATTTTATTCTCATGTAATCTTGACCTCTTGCTACAGGTTGTCCTTTCACATAAAAGTTTACAATTCTTTTTTAGAACTTTTTTTACCATTTTTTGCTTGATTGGATTGAATTTCAGCTTTTTAGCAAAAAATACAGCATAGGCTTTATCTTGCAGTTACAGAGAAACATGCAAGTTTAATGTGGCTTTTTTTTTTTTGCTTATAGCAATATTTTGTTTTATTTTATTGCTTTTTGTCTTCCCCTCTTCCATGCCTCATTCATTACCTCAAGCCTTGGGGAAGATTCTTGGTCTCTGGGGCAATATGGAGGTGTATTCCTTTCCTGTACTGACAAGCTGAACAGACGTACCTTGTTGGTTCGACCCATCAGCAAGCAGGACCCTTTCAGTAATTTCTCTGGCTTCTTTTCCTCTGTAAGAATCTTTTAAAAAAATTTTTAGTACAGAACTTCCACTAATAAATGCCAGTTGGAGTATTATAAAAAAAAAACAACCTCAAATGGCTTTAGTTTCTTGTCATCTAATTTTTTTTTTGTACTGAATGTATTTATTGCTTACATTGATTAGTTGTGTTATTTCCCTCTTATCCTTTAGTAATAGTTGTCAGTCAATTTTTAGTAGATATGGGGTGAACGGTTGATGGTTAACAACCTGGTACATAACAGCAGTCCACTGAAAGTCAATGGGATTCATTTATATTAAAAGTGAGCACATAGAGTAACTTTTGGGGACCAAATAATACTAAAAACCAGTACTGATTGCTGCATTTTGCTCATGTAATTCTGATATCTGTTTAGGGATTTAGGTACTTTGTGTTACTGCAATATACCTTTATGCAACCTTTTAAAATTATTTCTTATAATTATGATAATGCAAGAATTAAAAATTTCATATTTGAGTCTTTCTTTTGAATGCTAGGAATATTACTTGGTGAGTCAGAGTATCTCAGTGCAAGATATTTAATGCCTTTTTTATTTGTCTGTTTATCCTTGAAAGACTTTATATGTTATGGCATTGAGCTCTATCTTCACAAGTATACGACAGTATAGAATCTTTTGATGTTAGTGGAAGTTCTGTATAATCTGATTTATTTTCATTATGAATATTGATTGATAATACTTTCCCTTACTGTGTTTGTTTCAGTTCTTATAGGAAATTAACTTAATTTATTTTAATTCACTTAATCATAAAAGCTTCCAGTTTTTCAGCATTTAACCTATGTGTCCTGTTTATTTAATAGATGTGCTTCTATTGACAAGGTGTACATTGCAGTGTATCTTTTATTTAAGTGATGTGCTTTCCCATGTGGTACAGCTTTTCTCTTTAAATGCTCGGAGGTGATGAGGGCAAAACCAGCTCAGTTCTTAGAGTATTTAGGTGGATTATACACCTATGTTTAGATGGAGTGAAGCTATCTCTGCACCCCAGTGTTAATTCAGCACCTGTGGTGTTAGCACATACAGAAGGAACACGGCAAAGAAGTAAGATCTACTTCTAAAATTTCTAAAGTGAAGGAGAAATCAAAATATTTAGCTGTGTGAAAAGTAATCAGAAAATTTTGGTAATTTAACCTCCTGAATGTATGGAGGTTTTTTGGCTGATCTGGATTGAATTTCATACAACATAATCAGAAAACAAAAATGTTCAGCAATTCATAGTTTGAGGAAACAATACAGTGAAGTGTGGACATACAGTGGGCAAATTGTCCATTCAAAAAAGTGATAGATTTTTTCTACTGTTTAGAGACAGTGGAAAGCTATTAGAAAATATAGAACCCTAAACATCCTAACAGAGAATATTGTAGTTTATGGATGTTACATACGTACATTTTTGCAGCATTTTGTTCTGTGTTTGGTTTTATTTTATTTTGTTTTTTTCTTGAAACAGACAACTGCTAAACTTTTAGATGGTTCACACCAACAACATGGATTTCTTTCTCTCACTTATACCAAAGCTGTGACAAAAAATGTCCGGCACAAGCTGATATCAAGAAATGAAAGACGAACATTCCATAAGGTATCAGAAGGTCACAGTGATAGTTCTCCTCACTTTCTTCATGAGATCCTCCTCTCCGCTCAGGCCTTTGATATGGTCCTATGTTTTCCTTTGCTTAATGCAATTGCAAGCATTTTTCAAGCCAGGTTGCCAAGGAGTCAAAAGGAGAAAAGAAAATCACCAGGTCAACCTATGAGGACTCATACTCTAACTTCCCGCAACTTGCCTCTGATTTATATCAACACTGGTGTAATAAGAGTCTTCTTTCCCAAAAATGAGGAAGATCGTCATACTGCAGAAGGTACAGTATTTTGTGTTGGAGATACTTTGCTCTTCGGTATTGTAAACGAATATGGCAACTTCGTTAAATCACTGACCATTGCTAGGGCGTTCTAAGTTTTAAGGGTCAAAGTCAGGAAACATCTAACGTTGACCTTACTTCTCTGCAGATTTGCCAAAAATATTTTTTTAGGTATTTATGTGATCTTTGCTTTCTTACTACCTATACAATTTACATTTTAAAAGTGATTATAAAAAAAAATGGTCAAGAATTGTGGAAAGGGAACTGAACTCAATTTTGCAGTGGTGATTCTTGTGTCAGCTCTCATTACGCTGACAGTTCAGTCTTCCACAGATGCCTATTCCAGTGATGGAGTGGAAGCAGAGTGTAAGGGAGCCTTAGCTCATGTGGAAATTGGTACCTAGATAAACACGCAGAAGTGAAGCAGATAGGTATTCTAGTTCAGCTTCAAGAAAGTTATTAAAATGTGCCTTGTGATTGTTGCCCAACAGGTGATGTAGTTTATCATTTATTTAGTAAGTCTCTGTTGAAGCTATTCAGACTCATGTAAGAGGCTTTCAGGTATTTAGAGGTGTGATACAGCATAAGCTGTTCTTTCAGAAAACAGTAAGTAGCCATTTTATCTATGGTTAATACTTTTTTGTTTCATTTGCATCCCTATTACAATCTTTATATATAAAGAGATGCTAATGTTAAAATAACACCTTGAAAAGCTAGCAGGAATATGATCACTTCCATTACCAATGATTCTTCTAGATATTTAAAAAAAAGGGAAAAAAAAGTAAAAAAGCTTTTTTACTGGTATCATGGTATATTTACATAAGTCTTATAGGTATGGGAGTTTTTTACCATTATATGTGATAGCACACAATATAATCCTGAGAGTATAGTCTTTAGATTTTCTCATAACTTAATTGCAAGAAGTACAGACAGTGAGAATTTACATAGATCATTTTTTGCCAGCATCCTCTACAATTTTCCAACTGGGAATGCTGAAAACACAGGAAGATAAAATTAGACTGGCTGTGTTGGCAAGAAAGAATTATGATTCTAGTTGGAAGAGAGTCCTAGGGCATGCTGTCAAGGAAATTTTTTTTAAAGTATGTTTTTGTGGCTCTGTAGCTGTATACTTCATTAAAAAGAAATTATTAAAAATGCCTTTTTGCTATCCCTTGCTTGAAAATGCATGCAAAGAACAGAATTGCCATGGTTAAGCATTGATGTAGGAAGAAAAACTGTGTCTGCTTTTAAAGAATAATGCTAAAGATAAGTTTTACTAAATTTATAAGAAAGGCAGGTAACCTCTTCCACTGGAAAATTCTGAAATACTATCACTATGAAAATCAATACTGTTCTCTTTCCATTTCTTTTTTCACCCCAGATTTTCCCAAGCTGCTGTTTGTTTCTGAACATGAACTAAATCGCCTTTCTCTTCTACTGCTTATTGTCTTCAAGAACAATAGAAATTAAAAACAATCACAAGGAGTAAGAGTTGATAATGACCCACATTACTGGTGTGCTAAATCAAAACAGTGCTATATTTCTTGGAGATATGCCCCCATAAAACCTCATTCATCATTTATTGATAGATTTTTAATCTGATAAGATTGATGTGTTTCAAGTTGTACTCACTGCAGTAGAAGTAGAAAAACAGTGACCTCAGTTTCTCTTCCAGTCGATCGTCTGCTGATTGTACCTTGTACCTAGTGGTAGTTACAAAACTATCCTCCCCCCAGAAAACACTTGTAATTGTGACTTTACGGGTAGAGTTTTTAAAAAAAAAGGCAAATCTGTTCATTATTCATGCAGTCCAAAAGCAAACTTGCACAATGACCTGTGATACACAAACACTATGAACTAATCAAAATAATGTTTTTGTTCTCATGAGGAATTTACATACATGCATGCATGAATACACCCATAGTTTCATGTTTTTTACAGCAGTACCAGAGTTAATATTTCTTTTTGTGGTGGACTTGAGGGCAGCATTCTCTCCTAGGTGATAAGCAATGCTATTTTCCCTCAGAGTTTAATTTTTTAGTACATCAGGTGGTTTCTCAAGCTTTGGCCAACAGCCCGCTCTTACTCAGTGATGAAGTAAAGACAACTAAACGCATAAAAGCAATATATAACAAATAGAAATAAGAAATACTGCATAACAGAACACTGTAAATAAAAATTGTAAATTGCAAAAAAATAAGAAGTGGTAAAGACAGGGGAAATCCACATCTGGCTGATTTGAAGAGAATAGGACATTTTTTTACTGTGTACTAGGAACAAAATATCAGGAATCACTAGAAAGGATATGATAGATTTGATGGTAGTGAAAAAGCAAAGGTGGCATACTGAATAAATATGTGTCCTGCATTTGTAGAAGTGATATGTTCTTGTCACAGGAGCGTGACTCTCTACTTTGAAGTCTGTCATAACATATGGTCTGTAACATCCTCCTTGGTTACTATTAAACGGTTTCAAATCAGTCAGATGGACTAACTTGTGATCAGGAATTTTAGTCTTCTGAGGCTAATTTTTAACACACCTTGGAAGAGCAGGTTTTACACAGCTGAAGGTGTATCTAGTAAATTTCAAATAAAATTAAGACAGGTAGTATTGTTGCTCTCCCTTGGAGAACACAAAGGAAAAAATATTACAGGATTCAGTTAATAAAGAATTATGTATTTGTTACATGATAATAAATACTGTTTTATGTTAAATTAGTCTTGTTAAACACATCTGATAACCAGTCTTAGTTATGGCTTCAATTCTTAGTTGATAAAATGTTTGAGATTGTTTGAGACAGACTTTGGTGAGGAGTTTCACATTGTGTCTTATGGTATTCTAGTTTAAATACATTCCCCATATGATTTCTGTGAAAATGTTAAATTAATTAAAAATGGCTAACTAGAAAGCAAAAATCCCCTCAAGTTGTCAATTTGAAATAATAAGTGAAATTGGTATTTAATAATCTGAAAGTAAATATGAAACCATTGCTGCTAGAATCATCGTGTGTTGCAAAGAATTTCCTGAGGAAAATAATGTTATAGTCCATGCATCTGAAGGGACTATCGTGGGATACAGTGGCTGAAAACAGTGTAAGGGTCACGGTGGACTTAGTGAAAAGAAATAAAGGAGGTGTCTGTACTTCTGCATATGGCAGATGTTGGAACATCATGTGCAATTTGCTTTCTCTTATAAAAATATTGATAAAAGTGGAGAGGGTGCTGGAAAGCACCACAAATGCCAATCAAGTACAGGAGAAGAAGCCTTACAAGGAAGAATTAAAAGAGCATAATGCGTTTAATCCAGCAAAAAGAAGACTGAGTGCGTAAAACCAAGTGAGATTGTGAACATTATTACACTTGGGTCTGTAAGTTTTTCTTAGATTGTACTTATATTTTGTAGTGTAGACTGTTTTTTCCCCTCAATTTTTTAGTATTTATAGTGACTGTGATTGTTTACTACATTATTCCCATATTTTGAAAAGTTAATGGGAGAGTTCGTGGGTTAATGAATGGAGATGTGAATTTATCATCCTAAATCATGAACCAGATTACCACTTATTGGAAACTAGCTGAAAATTTTAATGCCTGAAATCCTTTTGTTTTAAGATTGACTTAATTTCTTGACCTACAGGAAGATGTACACAACTGTGCCCAGACTTGAAAAAAAGATCCTACAATGCTTAAATAATAGACCATGATGAGTAGTCCTATGTTTATTTACTTTGCTAAGCATCAGAGACAAATTAGAACTCTTAGCATAAGATAAATTTTTTCCAGAATTTCTTCTCAGAAATAAGGCTTTTGCCACCGAATTAAGTTGCAGTTACATTCTGAATTATATTTAATACCTCTTTTTTCTTACGTATGAGAAAAAAAAAATCCAAAATGTTAAGTGTAGAGTGGCAGGAATTCTAATACTCAGTACAATGCCTTACTCATTTTTTGTTCTAAAAGTTGAAAATATGGTTTCCGATTTAGTCACAAACAAGATTTGGTTGTCAGCTTAACTTTTTTACCTTAGTTCAGGCAACCAAACCATCTGTATATGGTTTTGCTCTGCTTTGGGGACTGAAGTATTTGACTTTACTTTTTAAGTAAATGAAGTTCTTTTAAGTAAATCCCATGTATTCCAATTTAGTTGTGTGTCAGAAGTTGTGTTGCCACTCTCCTGCATGTTTACTGTGGTATTCCCTACAGTTGTTTCAGAGTATCACATTAGGATTTCTGTGAATTCTGTGATTTCTTGTATCTGTTTAAAAATATATGTTTGTGTATATATAGCTGCACGGCATGGTGTCTTTTTCACCAAGACATTAACGGGTCTGGAGAACCCATTTTTTAAGCTCACAGGTTTTTCTGGTTTTTTTCACACCAAGCATTTCACTCTTCAGTAAAATATTTAAACTCTGTTCTGCTGCTATCATTTTGGTTTCAAAACTCACGTGTGAGAATCTTGCAGAATTTCACTGGACAAGGGAACAAATGTGGTGTCCTTCCGTCCATGTTATTTATCCCACTGGTGTTGCAGCAAACCATTTATTTTGGATAACGACCAATTTGATCTTGCATCACATGTTCTCAGGAGCTTCCTCGTTACTGCGGGGAACTCTGAGCTGAAGCTTATCCAAATGCTTTGTGTACGTCTGTGTCTACTGAGAAGGAGGTGCAGTAGACTCAGCCTTTTCCTGTAAGGAAACTTCAGAGTTTGTTTACTAGAAGAAATGTGCTGCTATATTTTTTTCTAGGCAGAACTTTGGTTTTCTATCTAATGTGACCACTGCTTTTAAAACTAAGAATTTTTACATGTGACTGAAATTTGAATATGATGGAGGTGAAGGGGAAAGCAGAGATTTTTCTTCTTGGAGTAATTTTGTTATTGATGTGGAATTTACTGTCCAGTACTACATCTTGTTCCTTGTATATCTGTCAGTTTTCAGAGTCTCTTGTTTCAGTCCTCGTGTTTGAACTTTTCATGTGTGTTGCAACTGGTACCAAATGCTCCTAGCATGGTTACACTGTAATATCCTGCAATGCTTTACATCTAAAGGACCTAGATCTGTATTAAAAAGCGTGCATGATTCAGAGTGCTTTAC